TTTTTTAAAAGGCTTTTATTCAGAAGGAAAAATGAGAGAGAGAGAGAGAGAGAGAGAGAGAGAGAGAGAGAGAGAGAGAGAGAGAAAGAGTTTTTCTTAGATTTCTAAAACAGAGCTCTTTAACTTTGAGGACCTAGTTAGCCTTTTATATTTTATAAAAGGCTAACTAGTATTCATGGATCTCTACCAAACACTAGATCGCAAATCATCATTCCAGAATGGGGCCAAACGTTGGGTTCCACAGGCTAGAAACAGGGAAACTCCCAGAACACAGGATGAAGTTTATTTTAATTATGCCGCAGAAAAACTGAGTAGGAAACTTCCTTTCTGAATGACGTGCACACTTAAACACGGACTTACCAGGGCACTGGCTCCTGGAGAAGCAGGGCTCTTGGTGTTCTCCTCCTCGGGATTCTGGGGATCCTCATCAGGTCCCCGAGTAACAAGAATTCGGAAATGCTGCTGCCCTGCGTTTTGATCTTGCCTGATCTTAAACGTGCACCCTTGACCCTGTGGAGCCCTCTCCATGGAATTCGTCCTACGAATCTCTGGAGCCATCCTGCCAGCCCGAGGTGGCGCCTCTGGGGCTCCTCCATCTTCTGTAGGGCTCCCCCGCCCTGCTCGGGGCTGGGTAGGGTAAGAAGTGCTCCTCTCTAGCCGAATTCGGGGATACCTCACCAACCTGTCGCCCTTTGTGCCGGTGAAGCCAAAATTGAAGTCCCCGCCCAGTCCTGGAGCACCTGGTTGGGGCTGCTGCAACTGGAAGACAAAGCACCGTTTCCCAGAGCTTCCAGAAGCATCTGGAACATGCTGCAAGGACCAACGCCTGGGTTCAGGCGCAGCCGGGCCTGCCTGGCCGTCGGGGCCAAAAGGCAGCAGCCGCACCTGGCGCACATCTGCACTGGAGGCTCGGTGCTGGATGCGAAGGCCGGGGGTGGCCTCCTCGGTGCTGTTGGCTGGACCAGGGCATCGCATGCGGCGGCCACATGTGCCATTGACCTGGGGCCCCGGGTCTCGGGCTGCCCTTGGAGGGGAGCTCCCGGGGGTGTCCCCTGGTGAGGGTTCCCGAGAGCTGCTCTGAGACGAGACTCTTGTGGCCAAGGCGGTGGTGACCTGGTCCCCGAAGTCGGAGGCAGTGCTTGGGGGTCGGTCATCAGGGCCTTCCGGTGGCCCGCACCCGTCCGTGGCACCATCAGCGGCCTTGCGCTGCAGGGAGATCTGCACCGATGAGCTGCGGGTGGGGCGGGCGTCAATGCCCGTGAGCAGCTGCGGGATGAACATGGACGTGCTGCGCTTGAGTGCGCCCACGCCTTCTTGTAGGCCACTGCCACTGTCCTCCCGTCCGTTCTGGGCGAAAGGGTGCGGGCCGCTCCTCCGCGGGAGGGTGTGGAATGCCATGAAAAAGTCGTCTTCTCTCTCCTGGTCTAGGATCTCTGACTCGGGGGCTGTGTTGCTGCGACTAGAGCCAAAATGAAACCGCAGCCGATGGGCCATGGTGACCAGGGGGGCCGGGAGGGAGAGGACGAGCGGCAACAACAAGCCCGGCACTGCCAGAAGTCAAAAACCAACGACACCAACTCCAAGAAAAAGTGTCCCATCTGCCAAACTGTTAGCACTGCCGCACCAAGAGCGACAGATAGCAGAAATAGCCCAAGTGGCAAGCGGCATTCCAGGCATGATTGGATAAGAGCAAAAAGCTCTCATCTACACTGTGACAGAGGGTAGGATGGCCAGAACCACATGACCGCGCTCTCCCCCTCCAATGCCAGCTTGTGGACTCTCTGCAGTTTCCCCCCTCTCCCTCTCATTTTTTTTTTTTTAAACAGCAAGAGCCTGAAACAGCACCTTCCCAGCTGCTGCTGTCCCGTCAGAAAGCAGTGGCCCAGCGGGGAGCTGCGCAGCTTACTGAGGCAGCAAACACACCTCGAACTGTGCTGCTGTAAATCTGCCCGCATCACATTCATGGGACATTTCTTTCCCAACTGCTCAGAGCCCTGGGACTCTCTAACGGGTGCTAGGGATCCGGCACTCAACACAAGCACACACTGGTAAGTCCCCACCTCCCCACCACAGCAAATAATGACAAGTACAGCTTAGCTGCATGGGGAGGGGGTAGTTCCCAAGCATCAGAGGTTATGTTTCTGTTATTTATGATATCACTACACTACCATGATGGAATGCAAACTAATAAAAGGTACTTTAAATACGATTACACACCCCACAGAATTAGTGTCCCTTTAGTGGGAAATAATTAGACCATGATCTACAAGTAACAAAATAGCTTCGTGGGGCACAATTTACTACACAGCCAGCTGTGCATCTGGGCTGCCTCTTGCTACTATGAACATTTTTCATTTAAAAGGGGCACATGTGCCTCTCACATGTAATAGGATCCACACATACAGAAGTACCAGAGCAAAAGAACTCAGCTGAAGAAAATATTCTCTTATATGCCAGATAGGTGAACCCCTTCACACCCATACAGAAAAAACATCAGGGAAAATTGAAGGCGGGTATGCATGTGGTTTTCTATAGTAATTTAACTTAAAATACCATACAGAAAAAAAAAATGCTGCTTGGAGCTGACTCTTTTCCAGTAGGAAGTCAGCAATATTACCCCAGTTGGGATTCAAACAAGGAATCTTGCTATCTGCAGTAAGCCAAAAAGGACCTAAGAAATAAAAGGGCACATTCAAAAAACTGTCATTGGGTTTGTTGTTAGTCTGGTTAGTCTTGTAGTTATTCTGTGTTTCAAACTTAGTATTTTCTATGATTCAGAAACATTAGAGGTTTATTTAGGAGGAGGTTAAAAAAATTAAAAAGAAGGGGAAAATGCCAAACTGCAATGAATGACAAAGTTTATTTTAAAATCTGCAAAGCATAGCTTTGTCAACAGTTCTAGAGTCAAGGGTATGGAGGATTAACCCTGCATTTACACACATCTAAACCCGTTTTCTAAAAGCATGAGTTTTAAATACCAAAAAAATCATCTCTCTGTGGGAATGGAAGCTAGGTTTGTTTAATGCTAGAATTTCCAAGTACTACTAGAGTCACACATTATCTTCACTGGATTAATAGCCAACAAAGAAAAAAAGCCACCACCACCAACCAGCATTCTTTGCATAGTAACAACACTGCAGACAGCCTGGGGCAAAGCTAAGTATTAATATTATAAAACACGTTTGTGCAGATCAAGTTTGTATTCACACCAGATTTTTTAGAAGCTTTGCATTCAAAGCCTTTTTTGGTTTAAAAGTATAGTTTCTGATCCGTGGCAAGGTCATCTCAACTACAGTCATTATTTTAGATCATGGAAATGGAAAACTTTTTTAAACAGTGAATTTCTCTCAGAAGAATATTCAATGATAAACTAAAACACATCAAACAAGAAGCATTTTTTTCTTTAAATTTGACCCTTTCTCGATATTAGGAGTTATTTTACTCAATAAAACAGAGAATAAGGATTATTGTGTGGAGGCCTCCATGTCTACAGTGAGTTATGCTATATGACACTAAATACTGCCCCATCCCTACAGTCCTGGCTGGATGAAAGGTGGATAGGCAAGAATTGCACCCTCAGCAGAATACCTTCACACAAATAACAAAAGGGATTTAGTTACTTGATGCTACCGATTATCACCCCAAGGCACAAAACATCCAGGGAAATGCATAGCCCCCCCCAGATCCCATATTTTTAATAGGAAAAATACTAGGATGGTAGAATGGAATTTCTTAGTTTTCTATTTTGGAGAATACTACCAAGCATATTGGATTAAATAACATTCCCTAATTCTACACCAAAGGGCAAAAATTCTGGGTATTCCTCAGCACCAGGTTGAGGCAGAAGAGAAAGGGGGTTGAACCCTGGCATGTCCCCTGACTGATACGCTTAATTCTATAAAGGTTCTAGACCAGTGACCTCTTATCTATCAGGACAGGGAGTTGCATAATGTGTTTTAAGGCTCCTCCTGATGATACTTTATTAACATGAAGATTTTCTCAATTTTGGAGTTTCAGTTGAATTCTGCAGAAACAAGGGTTTATAAGAACATTTCTTATAACTAGTGAATGTGCATAAGTTTCAGAGAAGGTAAATTTGAGTATAACCGAGTTTTAATATCACTTCTGAAGTACTGTAAAGTCTTACACATAACACAATAGTGTTTGGTGTCACAGTGGGAACACGGTTATGGGTACTTGATTCTAATTAGCTAAGAAAGCAAAATGCCTTAAGATTTGTTAAATCTTAAAGCATCATATTTGTTTTTAAAGCAATTTTGAAAATAAAATCTTAGTTATAGCCCATATCTCTTATATCAACCTGCATATAAAATGCAAGTTTGTATCAGTTATATGCCTCAGGTGTGTATCTACTGGTTTTTTATTTTTGGGGGGAGTGGTGGTGTTGGAAATGGAATCCAGGAGCCTGTGCAAGTTAGTCAAGCACTCTATCACTGAGCTGCACTCAGCCCTTATTTTTGATCTTTTAAAGGTACTTTCTAAGGATCTCTCTTGAGAAAGTACAACTTTTAAAACAGCTTAATTATTACTAAGTATAGATTTACTTTCTTCTATATAGTTAACCAGATTTTCATTTCCTCTGAGAATCACCATAGATAAGCTACTGAAGGCATCACAGTAATTACATTTAAGGTCCCCACAAAGTTTGCTTACATGCCTGATGGCCTCTTTACAAATTTGCCTACCATTCTGTATGCCCCAAACCAAAACACAAGCATTTAGGCTGAGCCTATCATCAGTAATTTGCATTAATAACAACTGCAATAAAAATATACATATATTCAAGTAAATTTTCTGTCCTAGCAACACACAAATGTTTGCTGAAATTAAAAACATTAAGAGTAGGACAAAAATAGTCTTCTCTTTCAGCATGAAAAAACTATTGGAAGTACAACCCAAAGACAGAGTTTGGAAGATGCTACTCTAAAAATTCAGTGTTTAAGAAATGAAGCAAAATTCAATAATGAGGAATCACTCACCAATCTGTTTTCGTCAAAGACTTCAAACAGGAGCCTGTGATTAGAAGGGTTTACCTACAAGGAACACAAACAGTACTTCAGATATAAGCAGAAATCACTGGAAGGATGAAATAAGGGACAGCAAGAATAGGATAAAGCTTTAGAATGCATCCAACTGAAATGTATTAACAAACAAGTAACCTACTTTTCTGGAAATTCTGTCTGCTAAATAATATTTTCTGGTATTGATTTTTCTATATAATATCAGAAAAAGGCAAAGGTCCTTAGCTATTTTTCTAGAATAAGAAAGTATAATTCTGAACAACTTTAAAGAGTTCTTAATCTGCTGGACAAAAGCTTCCCATGCCAATAGATTAAAGTCCCTGCCTGAGGGAACCTCTTAGACCTGGTGGTGGTGATGATTAAAATAATGAAGAAAACAGTAAGAGCAGTTATTTACCATTGTGGGCTTAGTTTTTAAGTACCATCTCCTTGTTAAGTATCAACCATACCTGGTCTCATTCAATCTTCACAGCAATCCTATGACATGTAACTATCACCTCTACTTCATGCATGAGAAGCTGAGATCATGCAGGTGGAGTAACTTGCCCAAGAGCCCAGGGACAGCATATGAGGCAACCAGGATTTGGAACCAGGTCTGGCCTGCTGTTGTTCAGGGCCTGGGCTGTGAACCATCAGTGACAACCAGAAAGAAAATGCCCCTGCTTCCAGCAAGCTGGGGCCAATGTCAGAGCTACTAGGCTTTTAATGATATTTTTTGCCTTTCTCTTTTTACCGAAACCTAACCAGAACAGCCCATATGTCATCATTCAGATTCAGGTATCCTTTACTAACTACCAAATGGTGAGAAATGGTGCCAGCAGTTCTCGTTTGTGCTATCTCATGTCAGGGGAACATTCTACCCATAAGGACTTCTCTCTCCTACGTGAGGAACAAGGCCCCCAGGGAGAGTGAGAATGCTTAGTGGCTTTTCCAGGGTCAGAAAAGCTGTAAACAATAAAGCCAGAGATATAATCCAGGTCTACTGTTAGGAGGCCCTGGCCGCTTCCTGACAGAGAATGGAATGAAATTACATTTGATCACATAAGCACAGTGAGCTCCACTTGTGTTTTGGGCCCGTTGGTTGGCCCGTAGCCTCCATGACAGAGCAAACAAATGGCTGGTGGGTTTGCATCTGCTCAGAAGCTTTGGGAAGCAAAGTGCTAGTTACCAGTGAATGAATTCACAGGCCACAGCAGGAGCTGGGTACATAGGTGGCAACAAAGATTTGCAGAGGGACTAAACAACGATCTTGAAAGCAAATAAGCAAAAACACTAACAAAAATAGATTTTAAATGAATTTATAGCCAAGAATCACTGAAAAAAGTTTTGGATTCTCTATCACTCACATAAATGATTTAAATATAAGTAGTATGAATATTTGGAGTTTCACAAGAAGGAAGCTGTATTTGAGAGTTAACTAAGGGCAAATAACACCTCACAGTCCCCAATAGCTGTTCAGTCCTTCACAGAGTAATTTAAAATACATCTGGTGGAGGCTGAACACAGGATCTACCAAGTATTAAAATATCAGTGCCATATTTCAGCTCTGAACATAACAGAAAACAGATGCAGGATACAGCAATCCAAGTTTGGAGCACAGAAAATCCTACCTCAACTGAAAGAAAGAAGGCAGGACAATTATGTGGGTCTAATGGCAATACAGTTCTTTGAGAATCTGCATTAATTAGAAGATCTAATCTGGTGTATTTTTGCAAGTGAGTGTCTATTAATACCATAGATATATAGATATTTTAAAAATTTTCATTTTAAGGAGAAAAATACTTCAATAGCTGAGCAGTTTAATATTTCCAAAATTTTGGCAACAAAAAAACCCAGCAACAACCAGGAAAACTCACTAAGTAGAAATCTCAGTTAATACAGAAATCAGTCATTTCTACATATAGCTGTTCTAGATATTAAATAGAAAAGATTGGGGGAAATTTTACCTTATTTTGTGGCATATAAATTCCAGAAGTAATTCTACAGTACTCACGTAAATACATATACTAAATATCTGAATCACAGAAAATTTCCTTCCTAACTTTAGGAATGTAATTTTAAAAAAAATTAATTTGAGGTGTTGGGGATTAAACCCAGAGCCTTCATGTATGTTAGGCAAATGTTCTAGCACTGAGCTATAGTAAAAGCCCCATAATTGGCATTGTTTAATGCTTCTATGATTCTACTCCTGTTTAACTATAAAATAATTCATAACCCATGTCACATAGGAATAAACCATTGTTTAAAATTACATTTGATCTTACTTTTTAAAGAAAAGTTTATAGAGTTGCAACAATAAAATATGGCATTTGGATAACTTTTTTTTATTTCCCCAAACATCTTCGGATGAAACAGTCCAGATTTTGTGACCACTATTCACTCTTGCAAAATTTAAGACATTAGGTGGTTACTCAAACATTTCTCATATTAAAAGGAATTTCTCATTAAAAATATTACAATTTTCCCTCAATATTTATTATGATGTATCAATCTAGGTATCAATAACAAGTTAGTACCAAAAAAGAAACTTACTCTAAAATAAAATTCTTCATTCCACTTTGGGTTCAGCGTCTGGAAGAGAAATAATTTTTTAATACATTTTACAGTCTTGGAAACTAACAGTTAACTAGCACAATACAGGCTTCATATTTGTCTAAATATCTTTCTTAATAAATACTTTTTAAATGGCAATAAAAACAAAATTTAGTCAATTACTTGAGACTATTCTATAAACTAAAATATGAGGGAGTATACCTATGAAACCAATGATTCATAGATATGAAACCATATTGCATGCTATCACCACAAGGAACAGTACAGGACTCAAAAGAGCCATTGGCATGAAAATATAAAATTTCCTTTCAAGAAATTAGCATTAATATAATTATTCTATCAAGAAAGAAATGATCTTTATTGACACCCCTCCTAAAAAGCTATTTTGGAGTGCAATAAAACAGGTTGGGGAAGTCTGAATTCTTTACATATAAATTTGACATCAGAACAACATTTTATAAAGAATATCAATGATGATCAGACTTTATAATACACAAACTGCTAGTTATAATGAAAAGGATGCTCCCCCAAAAAACAAATAACCAGGTTAAAAATATTTACCTACTTACCCTTCTGTCTTCCTCCCTCCCTCCCTCCCTCCGACCTTCTAGTTATCTCTTTATGTGCATATCTCATAAAAGCATGACAAAGATACTTTTGCCCTCGGTATGAATGAGACAGACTGCCCAGCATCCTAAGATAAAGCACCTTCTATGAAGGAACACACACCTATGTGCATGTGTGGTTTGCACAGGTTTAATATTCATGAGCATATCTCTTAAAAATTATGAATAGGGGGAGGAGGAGAGGAGGGAAGAGGATGTACCTGGGACCGAAATGGAGCAAATTAAATTCTATGAATGTATGATTATGTCAAAATGAATCAAATTATTAATGTATAACTATAAAATAAAACCATTTTTAAACATTATGTATAATAATTTGAAACTGAAATTTCACTACCTCATCCTCAGCTACAGATATTTTTAAAATAATATTTGCCTTCATCCACCTATTTCCTTTAACAGAAGCAAAAATAAAATAGTACAGTGCACCATAAAAATACTAAACTCTAAACTGGCATTAAAAAAAAAAATCAGTATTTTTTTTCCTCCATCTGCAACTCCACAGTCAACCCAATTCTAAATAATGGGGATCCATACTTTTGGATTTGAATGGAGCAGGGGTGGATGTGGGCTGGGGAGGGAGCGGCAGCAGCAGCTGGGCCCAGGGCGCAGCGTCCAGGAGGGAGCTCCACGGAAGCGCACGGGTGGGGGCAGGCACAGAAGCAAACAAGCCAAGAGCAACACAGGGCCACCAGGAAACCGAGGAGACCAAAGACAAGGGCAGTTTTTCCGCTCAGGCACAGCACGAAGCACAGACATACTAACCAGGCTGCCGGGATCGGAGCTGCGCCCTCCACCGTGCACAAGGAGGGGGAGGACCTCCCCTGGGCAGGAAACATTGCAGTGTCCCCAGCCGCCGCCCTGGGTCCTGGGCTCTGCGTCCAGCAGGTGACCAGGGCCCCCGCTGCCTTCCCTGAAAGGTGCCCCTGCTCACTGCTGAAGAACAAGTGACAGCGCCTAACACAGGGAACAATGGCCTCCGTCCTTCGCAGGCATCCTCCCACTAATCAAAATACCGGCTTCTGTTTGCAAAACAGATTTTAATGCCGGTCTCAATGCCAGGTGAAGGGCACCCTGCATTACTGTTCCCTGCTCAGAATGACCTGGCCGGAGATCCACAGCTCGAGAGTTAGTGTTTTTAAAGCACGATGCTGCCCAAGAAGTGTGTGGAATCAAGAGTTAAACATCTGGCCACCCCCGCAAGGCAGGGAGGAAACGGGAATAGTAACCTACGACTAAATCTAAAACGGAGCAAACTCATTTTTGACAGAAAACGTTCATCTTCCATAAAGCCCTCAAATAGGAGGTAAATATTTGCATATATTTTACATATGCATCCAAAAATATGGGGACAGGCAATTTTAACTATGGAAACAAATGTGTGATGACTATACATAAAAATAAACTTGTACACATATGAATAAAACTACATGTATATTTTAAAGTTTTCAAGTAGTGAAGTATTTTGCTTTCTTTGATAATAGTTGTTTCAGGCTAAACCATTCCTTTTGTGCCAGTTACATAAATAATTCCATTTCATTAAGCATATTCTTGGCAAGAAAAAAAATTACCAATTGTAATGACTTGTTTTCAGAATGTTGTTTCTGCAGACATTTAACTAAAAATCAAAATTGGTATCTTGGGTTAATAAAGAAAAGTTTTTGTCTATGCAGAATTTTAGATTTAATACTGGTAGATGTTCAAAATAAAAACAGTGCCATCTTAACCTTAAAATATAAACTTGACAACAGTCAAAAATACATCATTCCATTGGGTTAAATTATAACTTAAATGAATTTTTTAAAAGGATGGGCAACCTACCTTTTTAATTGTTTTTGTCTGCACCAAGGCAAGTTCTCTATTCTCATCTGCTACATACAATGAAAGTTTCACATATGGATCACTGCAAGAAAATATTTCAGATTTAATAGGATTATACTTTTCATTTTAAAAAAGTAGTCAAACTGAATGAAAATGTAAAGATCATTTAATGTTCCAGTTTGTATTGATTTCATAAACTAAGCCACAACATTTTAACATACCTATAATATGCTCAGTAAACTTTTTTTTTTTTTTTTAAATCAACCAGAGCCAATCATATTTATTTCACAGACAAAAAGAAATTGACATTCTAACTTTAAAGATGATCTTCCCTACAATGAATTAAAATTAACTTACCTGTCATTTTTTTCTAGACACATATTCTGAAAAGAGTATAAAAAGATTTTCTAAGAGGCATACAAAATGTGTTCACCATAGTAAAATCTAGCTAGAAAATTCAGTTTATATCTTATTCATCTTATTTTTCCCTGTGGGAAGTTTTTCTTTTAGTGAAGGCAGATTCAATAGGTATTCACTTAAATAAGACTTTCCATTTTATAGGTAACACAAAACAGAAACCTAAAACTAAAGCAAAAGGTCAAGAGATTACCCAAAATTAGATTTGAGAAAAGTCTACGTTAAAACTCAGGCTGCCTGACTACAAGTCCCAGAATTCTTTGTACAGATCACAAAAATTCTTTCCCTGAGAAGTTGAAATCTTCTAGCAAGATGTGTACTGGAAGAATTTATGGAAGAATGTGGACTATCTACTAAGAGTCTAAGTGTATTAATACTCCCTAATATTGCTAACTCAGGGATAGCTCAGATGTAGTCACTTAAAAAAAAATGGGGTCCTTGTGGAAAATCATGAAAAGGACTTCTATATACTCATTTCCCCAATTTTACTTATCTAATTATAATTAGATAGTTAGGGGTATAGCTCGGTGATACAGCATTTACTCTAGAGCATTCATGAGGCCTGGATTCAATTCCCAGTATCAGAAAAATAAATCAAACAATTATCTATAACTGGAAATTCTTTCAACCCATCATGTTAGCTTCATACCAATTTGGGAGTTATCCTTTAGAGCTATACCATAACAATTAACCTTTATTTTGCAACTTCCAGAATGTTTCCAAAGATTACATAGAGTACTCTAAAATGCTAAGACTATATTAATTTGTATTTGCTATCAGAAATAAATATGCCATGAAATCTTTTATAAATATTGGTAATACTAAGATTATAATCAATATACAAAAATAAAAAAAAAAAGATCACAGCACAGAGGAAAATATTGCTACTACATGAATAGAGATATTAGTCAATCTTGCCTTTGGTCCATAAATTATAGACCTTGATTTGGTTAAAGAACATGTAACCAGTGGTACCCGCTGATCCTCGTCTGGACATTTAGAGTCAGGAAAAACACAAGTTCAGACCTAACCTAGGTCCCAGGCCCTAGCTTCTTCCTCATGGGAACCAGTGGTCTGAGGTGTGAGAAAAAGTTACCGTCTAGGTGAATGACGCTCAGGTGTCAACACATCACAACCTGGCGGTTAAAATAAAGACTTGGGACCCATGCCCAAATTTTAGTTCAGTTGGTTTGTGGTAGGACCCTAGAATTTGCATTTCCAGCAAGTTCCCAGCAATGCTGAGGCACCTGGTCTAGCAACCACACTTGGGGAATCACTGTTCTGTGTGGCATTTGTAAAAAGTATTTTGTCGCTACAGAAATAAAGTTTTCTATTTCTAGCCAAATTACTGCTAAAAACACCCCAAAGCCTGATTATTTCCATTACCTCAAGAACAGGCTTCCAGGACACTGAATGTGCACACTTGTGCACACAGAAACACACAATCTTGCATTACAGGGACTACCATTAACTGCTGTCCTGTCTAGTTTTTATGTCCCTCAGCTTTCATGATTGCTGGCTACTATATAACTGCAATAAAAAGCTAAGCCTTCACTTATCCACATTCTTCTACTAGTCACTTATTTACCTCAGTTTTTATTCCCTGAATAGCTGACAGTAAGTGACACATGCAGTTGGGGGTTGTGGGGAGGGTCTGAGTGTGGGACAGTGTCTTCTAGCTGTAGTGAGGAAGACAGAGCTGAGCACATCGTGTCTCCAGTGCTCATCCAGGTAGGCACTAGTGTGTGAAAACCCTGTCCAAGATCAACCAGAAACTCCGGGAAGGGAATTCAGCCTGGCCAGGGAACCACGGGCCAAGGTGCTGACTGAAGGTCAGTAGGGTGTGAGCTCCAGGGGAAGGGAAGACAGTGAGTGGCTGGGACCACCCTCAGGAAACAGAAAGGGGACAAGCTAGGACTTCACCACTTTTGACTTCACACTATTTATGAATGAGATGGGAAGGACAATTCCTAATTCACAGGGTTATCACAAGAATCAAAGAAAATGATGTACAATCACTACCCAGCACAGCTCCACCATACAGCTACAGATGCTCCATCAATGCCAGCCATTATACTTGGTATTCTCTTCTTTCCTAAGAAATTTGAGATTCTTTGCTTTTTTCCTCTTTACTCCCTACTTCTGTTACAATTACTAATGACTTCACATGATTTACTACATAGCACAAGCTGGGAGCCAGCCAACCACAGCTCCCTAAGTATTTCATGCTTCCTTCTAATTCAGAGCATGTGTGAGCACCCAGGGGATCAGGGTGGGGATGTCCAAAGTCACTCCTGCACCTGGTCGCTGTCCTGGGACTGGTATTTAGTACAGCTCAGGCTAGAGTTAACATGACTCTTTGTGAGGGGAAAAAAAAAGCTAAATGCTTTGCAGGACTTTGGATGGGAGGAGAAATTCTGTTCTGCAAACTTTGTTTTAAGCATTACATTGTTCCTTCCAACCTTTCCAAGGAGACGGCAAACTGGTACTAGCCTTCAAACCACCTCCTATTTACTGAGTGCCTATTACATGCAGGTGAGGGGATAAGCACCCCAAATAGACAGAAGACACTGTCCTTGCCACATCTGAATGGAACACAGAGAAACAAAATGGCCACTGGGACAGAGTGTGCCAAGAGTCCAGGAACATAAGTCAGCAGAGCCATCCCTCAACTCATGCCAGTGTCACCTGGAATCTGGGCACCTGGCCTCACCCTAGACCTGGGAATCTGCACTGACCAATATCCAGGTGATTTCTCTGCCTCCATCCATCTGGGCACCACTGCCAAAGAGAAGTTCTCTGCCCGTTTCTCTTTACTCCCTACTTCTGTGACAATTACTGATTTGACTTCACATGATTTACCACAGAGTATAGGGGTGAAGGCCAAGATCAGGGTGAGGGGATTCTAAGTGAAGGATTCAGTGGTTAAGGTCAAGGTTGAGCTGGAATTCTGAACCTTAAAATATCCATCTGGTTGCAGTGTGAAGGACTGAGGAAGAACAGGCCGTGTGGGTTCGAATCTCAACCAGTCAGCCACCCCACTGGAAGTAAAAACCCATCTCCCCTGTGTATAGCTGTATGACTGTGGGAAACTCTCATAGTTTCTTGTGCCTCAGTTTTACCATTTACATAATGGGGATGATAATAACAGTTCCCTTATAGGGAGGCTGTTGAGAAGACTAAAATAAACGTTAGCAGTCATTTTCATCTTCACCATTATGAAATTGTTGAGATGCAGAAGACTCATGGTCAGGTTCATTACAAGGAGATAAAACAGCAGGCAGGGAGATAAGCAAGATGGCTCCTGCTCCAAAGATGAAAAAACACTCCAAGGAGGTACTGAGGATTAACCCAAAGAAAGACTCAGGAGCTCACGCAAATGTGGACCCAGTAGAACAGAATATAGGTAGGCAGGCTAGGAGGAGGGAAGTCCACTTATCCCCAAGTGTAGGGTCTCTTGACAAGTTATGTTATTATACAAGGGCGCCTAGTCACCTCAGACCTTTGGCTCTAAGTCCATGATGGTGGCTTTGTTTGTGAATTTGAAAGGCATATCAAAGAACGAAGGTCTGAGCTGTCAGTGAATCCTAATGATTGAGCGCTATTTCAACTAGCCCCCAAAAGCGCCAATTCATACTGGCCTCCAAAAGCCAACGTCTGCTTGAGCAGACCACAAAATGCACCCATAGGACCTCAGGTGCCTCAGTACTCCTCAGCAAGTGTACAAAACTGAAAAGAAGAAATACTTGGGGAATTCAAGCTGTCCCTCCCAAACAAGATACCTCATCTATACACAAAAGATGACATTTGTGGATGGGGGTTAAAATGGTGATGAAACGATCAGAGAGAGATGAGATGCAACACAAGGGACTGCATGAAATCAGTGGCTGAAGGACAGATGCCCTTCCCCTAA